TTTTTTTTTTAAAAAAAAAAAAAAAAAAAAAAAAAAAAAAAAAAAAAAAAAAAAAAAAAATGGCGGCCAACCTGAATTTACGATGTTTTGCAAACGAGAAAACGGCAAGTTGTCGCTTTTTATAGCCTTCACAGGATTAAAAACACAATAAAAAACTCCCACAAATTGTTTTCAGGTTAGCAAATAATTTTTTAAAATTTAAAATGGTTAAAAATAGATATTTTTGAAAAACTAATCGGCCGAAAGAACGAAGATAAAAACATAAACAAAATAGAAAAATATTGAAAATATCCGAAAAGCAAAGTCTGTGAATTCAGACCTTGTGTATATAATAAAACAGTTATTCCACTCACTCTCGTCGAATATGAGCGATAGCCGATTCGGCGCTACGCGCCTCAGCGGCTATCAGCTCATATTCGACTCGAGTTCGTAGAATAACTGTTAATTGTTTGCATGTGAATACAATGCAATTTATAACCAGCTGATCAGTGTTAAATACTATAGTCAGTAGGATATTAATAGTAATAAGAAGCCGATTTTGAATGACATAATTTGTACATTTTGCAAATAAAAAAAGCCATAATTTACATTATATTGGACACTTTTTTGCAACTCTGCTTTTTATATTTTCTCATACGGCCATGTATTCAGTTATGTTAGTTCATCTAGCAATCAAACGAGTTAATGTTGGGCAGCCCTTTAGATTAATAGAACAAGAAAGCAACATATCGCAACATACAGCATCTCCATGACCAATTCCAGTGTTGGTCATATAAAAAAAACACATTTAGCGTCTTGCAAAAATGTTGTATCACATAAATGCATAATAATATTGTATATGATCAGTATATATATTTAAAGATTTACTTACGTTTTTGTCTGTAGTGTATTCTGCTGTCAAGTAAACAAATAACTGTTTTGTATTCCAGTCAAAGAGACTAGTTAGGTTTGTGAACAATCAAGGAAAACAACATTAGAAATTACAATAACTAAACGAAACTACAGTCTTTACAGCAAGCTGGTTATGCTGACAAATAAGTTCTATAGCTAAGACTAAAGGCTCGTTTACACTATCAACATTTCTGTGATCGCAGTAGGAATTTTGCACATGGTAAATTCAGGTTTTGAAGTATTTGTACGAAATGTTTGAGGAACTAAGTCAGTATATTGGCACATGAGTCAGTTCCCTAAAAAAATTCTTACGAGTCACTACCTATGCAAAATTCCTAACAGAAACTTTGATACTGTACTACTGTAGCTGCCGCCATTCGTCTTTAATTCCCCCATGCGTCGCCATGGAGGGTTTAACATGCAGTGGTGATGTAATCACTACACCTTACAAAATCAACAAACACGCAATAAAAACCTCATAAAACTGAAAATCTTTTTGAGTATTTAAATTTGTAAAAAGAAATCTATGCAATCTGATGGTTTATAGCCTACATTAACCTTTCCTAGTACTGACGCATCAAATAGAACACATTACTCTTGTATGAAAGATAGTAGCTATACCATCATGTAGTTTTAATGAAATTCTTATTTGCAAGAGTCAGTTATCTCGAACAATACTGCAGGATATAATTACAGTTGCATACTACTACTAGTGTGACCACTGACCAGGCAATAAACATGTATACATGTATTCACGCGTAAAAATTATGAGCCTACTGTTTAACAGGATTGAACAGTGTTGTGCTGCCCACGTTGTTCACACTTGTCAACAATATTGAACAATATTGTTGAGCTCGAATCGGATGTAACAATATTTAACAATATTGGTGACAACTGTGAACAATGTGGGCAGGACAGTATTGTTCAATCCTGTTTACATCAATATTGCAACAACTTGATCAGTTTTAGCTGCGTACATCATAAGTGTACACATTCGACCAGTCACGCATTAATTCGACCAGTCACGCATTAGTTTGGTTGCCCATTGCCCATGGTTAAAAAAAAGCCACTGACACTAGAATGATACAGATTGCAGTTATAATACTAAATCAGCAAGTGCTGATGTTTAAAGATCATAAAAAGGATATCTGCAGTTAAGTCGACATTCACAATGCCCAAATCATTTGTCTCTTTTGAAACACTGAAATCTTTAACATGTTTTCTAAACAAACAAACAAAATTAAACATTCTGCCTAACGATTACAAAAAATTCTTTGTGCTTTTAAACTCTTTTAACACATTCAGCTACAATTCGCCCTGATGCACCATATACATTGTTATTTTATCCTCTGACACCGGACAATTTTACTCGTCAAGGGAGAGTGCTGCGACTCAATGGGTTAATGAAACAAACTGAGAATGTACCTTGTTAAGTGTTAACCTATTAAGCTGCATTATGCCCTGACGCGCCCTACTTCGTTATGTCATCTTGTTTAACGCCAGACAAGTGCTGCAGCTCAATGGATTAATTAACAATCTGGCCTAAAGAGTCTCAGTATTATGGGGGAGAATGCCTACCATTAGATTATACCTTGACGAGCACCCAATTAGCCTTTCTCACGCCCCAATTTTTGGGTGGCTTTTCAGCCGAAGTCTGCGAGATAAGTCCACATAACAGCGACTTTTTATCATTTTTGGACGAATGATGGTAAATTTGCTTTGTAAATGGTTAGTTTATTTTGAAAAATTGCTTTTCACATTGTTTTAATTGTCTGCATTGGTTAACGAGAATTAGATGCCACCGAAAAATGGCGGATATTCGTCATCGTGAGAAAGGCTAATTGTTGCAAAGGCATACATGTAACTGTGTAGGGTTGAGGTAAGGGCTAACCTGTTCACATACATGCACTATATATAAATTTGCCAGTTGCCAACACACCAATATTGCACAATTCTGATGTTTATTACCAGTATATAATTTACTAGAAATACATGCATGCTGCAACCCCTCGCCTATATTTTCCAAACATTGATTTAACACGAAGTATTGGCAATTGGCCAACACTGAAGGCAGGCTTGCGTTGTACGTCGAGTATTGTCATGGAAACATGTTAAAACGAAAAACATTTCCGAAATATTTACTGTAGGTACATGTATGTATTTTTGTATTTTGTGAACTTTGATTTAAAGTAAAATTTAACCTGAATCGCTTCATTAAATGTTTTGAAATGTTCATTAAACTATTAAGGCTGGTTTTCATCAGTTGGCGACCCTCGCTGATGTTAATTTTGTTTAATCACCTATAGTAATTCATCGCCGACTGTTGCAAGAAATAAAACAAATTGTTTTGTTGCGACAGTTGGTGGTAGTCGCAGACACTGCGATAATAAAACAAATGAAAACACTATTCGTGAGTTGTCGGCGACACTAATGAAAACCAGCCTTAAACCAGCTTTTGCGGATAAACTGTATTTACTGTACTTACTACAACAAAACAAATTGTTGTCATTTGTTGAGTAATTTCAGTTCGGTTGAGATCAGTGGGAGGTCCACGCACGAACCATAGTCACGCACCTGCGATTATTGATGAACTTTAGGGTTCGGTAATATTTTCCTTCTTTCCCCGGATGTAAATAACCCAACCTGAAATTAGTACCCTCTCCCAGGGCTAACGCCTGGAACGGCGCTCTGTGCCGTTGGCTTGGGCATTAAAAGCTGATCTACTAATGCCAATGAAAAAATCATATTTTTTAACATGGCTGCTGCATGGTAGATGAAGAAAGTCAAACTTTTCGGTGATATCCTGCATGAATGAGGAGAGTAGCAGCCAAACAGCCCCTTGCTACTGTACTCCAGGACACAGAATAAAGACATACAGAAGGTCCACTCGAGTAACTGCTACCACGCCATGATTCATCATTAAAATGCTGACGCCATGGACCTAGCAAGTGCAGTTACGAGAGGCATTATCCCCTGGACGTGCGCCATTTTGAATACTTTCAGGGGGATGAATGCCTCTCAAACACACACTGGCTAGGCCCATGGCATCAGCATTTTGATAACAAATTACGGTTATGCCAAAATCATTGGAAAATCATAGAAAAAACCAAGAAGTCGGGCTTCTGTGTAGTCTCCGAGCCGACGGCGCGAAGCACCGTGCGAGGGTACTAATTCCACCCGGCTATTTACACCCGGGGAAACGAAAGCATTAGCGAAATCTAAAGTTCATCAAATATCGCGGGCGTGACCAACAAACTTGAGTGGGTGGTTATCCTCACTGATCTCAAAAATATGGCTGATTGCTTGTGGGAGTGAGATAAGCAAGATTTCAATTTTAAAAGACATATATTTGGAAAATCGTTTCATATACAAGCTTGAAGCAATTTTGTTTGAAGAAATGAGAAGAATTGATTTACTATGGGAAATCCTGAAATATACGGCAAGTTTGCTTTGAATTTTGTTGCTCTAACTTTTTGCCTAAAAACATGAACTGTTTTCCTTTTCAACGAAGCTCTAAGTCATAAATTACCGTTTAATTTGAACAAATTGATTTGAAGACTGAACTAAAATTACCTAACAATTTGTTTTGTGTGTAAAACAGTTTGTCGGCAAATGTAGTTTAGTTGAATGAACATTTCAAAAATTTCACGAAGCGTTTCAAGTTAAATTTTACATTAAATCAAAGCTCACAAAATGCAAAATAATATACCTACAGTGTATATTTCATAAATTTATTGTTGTATAGTTAAAAGTACGAATCTTTCAACTACATTATGCACTTTTGTACAAAAATATGAAAAAATTAAAAATTTAAGATATCGTGTTGTCATGGCAACACTTGAGCGCGAGTCTGTGTTCAGTGTCAGCCATTTCTGAATACTTCATGTTTGGAAAATATTGGCGAGGAGTTACTGCATGCATGTATTTCTAGTCTATTCTGTGTTCAGGATTTGGGGCATCTACACTCGATATATGTAGCTAATTGTAGATGGAAATTTCAAGTGGAAATTTTATACATTTATTAGACCTAACCAGGACTCCAGCACAGAAAAGACACGATTTGCTTAATTAACAAAAATGCCATAAAAAGTGAGAACAATGCAAAGAGAAAGTTTGGGGCATATTTGAAGGCTTGCCACATGGAAAACTATGAAGAATGGATTACTTTCAGTGACAGGAAGCTGGACGACTTGTTGGTGAAGTTTTGGTTCTGTGCACTGTGAGGTGATAAACAAAATCCTTGTTCCAAAGGTTTGTCGGGATATACAAGATTTACCCCTCAGCCAGTGTGCATTCAGTATAAACACTACACCAAACATACGCCAAAGCAGTCACAACGCTACACCAACATCCCACACTGACCCATTCTTCTGACTCTCACCCACGCCAGGGTGTATGAGTCAGGGCCTTTTTTAACATACAAGCTGGGGGGGGGGGGGGGGGCAAATGCCCCCCAGTCCCCCCTTATGCCCCCCCCCTAGGAAAAGTCCCTTTTTCCTAAATTTATACCAACAAAACAGCGAAGAATAACAAATAAATAAACGAAAAGTAAGTTTTAGGCTTTATCCTTTGTCCTTTAAAGTGCCTATATCACTTGTGGGATCTTTACGGATTTGAAAAGAGCGCAAAAAGTTATTTAACAAGTTCTTCAACCTTTTTTGATTTAGGTCAATAGTTTCTGAGATATAGGCCCTCAAACATGGCAATTTTGACCTTTTTG